CCTGCAGGCTGGAAGACCTAGTCTCAGCTCCCATCTGCTGGCTCTCTGGGGAATTCTTCTTCTCCGCTCTGCAGGATCCTTTTCGTCCCACTTCTGACGGCACGGCTTCTGGTCGGATCTCACAGCTGCTGGAGGTGAGCGGTGAGACCGTGGCCGCCATAGCCAGAGACTTGTGGGTGCTGATAGAAACCAACCGGGAAAACAGAGGATTCAAGAGGGTCTGCATTTTTTTTTTTTTTTTTTAAAGCAACAGCTTTTGCAACCGAAGCCAGAAAAGGGAGAAAATTCGTGATCTTGGCTGGGTCTAACGTGACTCAAGACCCTTCTCGATGCATTGGTGTCTCTGCAAGGAAATCTATTATTTTCCATAAACTGTCTTAAGCATCTCCCGGGCTACATTTCTGGCTGTGTTAAGAATCAAGCCATCAAGAACAGCTGTGAATGTTATACACTTTCAGCAGCAGCAATGGGCTTTGGCAGGAAAGTGGGAGCAAAAAAACCCAAGTAGGACATTTCAGTTGACAGTAATGGCATTTTCCCTTCCTTGTCCAAACGATAAAAGATTCATGCTCCTAATTGCAACACTATAGCTGCCCCCATCACTTTATTCTGGGAGAGGAGGTTAGAGAAAACAGGCCTAGAGAGAGGGAGAGAAAGAGAGAGAGATGGATAGTAATTTCGTCACTAGCTAACAGAGACTGATTAGTGCAGAAGACTATCTTCCACAGCAATACTTTTTAATCAGGTCTGCTGTGTCTGGGCAAACAGCTTTTGTGGATTAGCTAGACTGGAGCCTGCCAGCATCCGTTGCAAGTTTAAACGATGAAATACACAACTACAGAGAAAACAAACCAAAAAGAGTAATAAAGTCACACATTTCAATATTCAGCAACCATTAAGGGATTTAAATATTTGCTTGCTATTAAAGGCTTGCATTAGGCTCTTCCAACACCAGCTCTGGAAGACTGAAATATCAATTACAGATCAATTTTCCCCCTAAGTAAACACTAATGCAGGATAAACAGTATTAGAAGATGCAATCGTCACATTGCTGACTTCAGGATGGACTTCCTGCTGGTAACAGCAAGTTTAAGCCTGGTGATTAATTAACCTGAGAAGATAGCACTTAAGGAAGATTTAAGGCGATCATGTCTGAAATAGGACTGTGAGCCAGCCCAAGTTTGGAGGGCAGCTGAAGTCCTGGACCTGGGGTGTGTGCTGATCTGACCCTCTCTAGGTTTCCTCACTTTCCCCGGAATCACCGCCCCACAGCTCAACACCTCGAAGGATTAGGAGGGAGTGGCAGGGCATCGGCCCTGGGTGTGCTGGTGAGAGAGAAAGCACCTGACTTTGAAGTCAGGTTCCTTGTCCGGAGTAATTCCCTAGTTGAATACGCAAGACCTGAAGTGCAATTCCTGGCACCGACCAGCGGGGGCAGTAGACTTTGGAATGAAAAATACAAAAAAGAAAATTTCCTACATAGGGGAGAGCCTGGAAACAGAGGGTGGGAAGACTTGCAAAAAGAAACTTCTTGCTTTCAAGTCTCAGTTTTGGGGCACTCACATGATCCTTGTGCCTAACACCCTCTTTCTGGCATGTGTAATGATTGGGGGGTTACTTGGGGGAACTGAATGATACGGCTCTTATCGGAGGCACATTGGACAATTCTGAAATGAACATGGACAAGTCAAGGAACGTGGCTTGAATTTTTCTAACACGCCGTACGTCACGTCACTCTGAAGGCCCTTCTCGGTATATGCTGACAATAGTGAGGCTTTGCTCAGCTATTACCAAATATGTCATTCCCTGTGGGAGAGAAGAGATATTCCGACCCAGCAGGACCATGAGGACGATGGGCTGGCCGGTGCGTTCTTCATGGCCACTGGCAAGCTGCCTACGCTGACGTGCTTGTCAATGTCAAGGTCTGAAATACAGAATTGGTGACCTGTCAGACTAGGTATAGTGAGACTCAGCAACGGGGCGCTCGGCTGGTGTCCCTGGAATAAACTATTCCTTGCCGAGTGCCTACTGTGTGCCCACCGCCGTGTGACCATTGGCCTACGAGGTCTGCGGATGACAGCCAGGAGCCCTCTCTTCCTTCGCCCGGACAGTGGCTGAGGACACCCAGCTGCTTCATTTTCGAAAGATTTCCAAAGTATACGTGTATGGCTGTTGGGTAGGCATTTCTCTCCCAAGGCATGTGGCTGCCAGTTTTTTATGACTAAGGGCTGTGTACTTGGTATCCTGACCAAAAAGGTCTTAAGCGAATTTTACAACGAAACAAAACGCTCTCGCTCAAGCGGGCTCTTTCTACCTGTGGCATGGCGAACGGCATGGTTGCTCTAAGGTTCTGGATGTCAGAATCAAAGGAACATTTCTCCATGGAGTAAGTCCACGGGCAGTACAAGAATTACATTTCAAGCAGACAGAGGACAGTGAAAGATTGCACCAATTAACAGCCGCATATCACCTCGGGGTTCTAGTTGATGTATTTGGAGAATGCAAGCAGGCCAAAGCATTTGTGAAAACCCTCGGGAGGAAACGAGGGCCATTTTCACTCCCAGACCAAATGAAGGACCGGGCTACTTATCAGGCTCCTGCTCACATGGACTGCTTCTGGCACCTTCTCATTTGCATACCCTGTGGAACTCAACCGGCAACTGTGCAGCGAGGGGCCACCTCACGTCTGCCTCCGTTCAATGGACTTCTTGGGTCCCTTCACTGTAGGTTACAGCGGAATCGGGAGCCTCATGCTACAGACGAGGGGGTGGGGCTGGGGTCACCGAACGTGCCACATGGCCTGGAATAACCAGTGGATGGTGAGGATACAGGGGTGGTTACACCTTCCAAGGCAAGCGTCAAGAGGATGTGAGGTGTCCACACGCAGAGGAGCCCAATAGCTCCCTTCACTTGAGCAGTGACCACCTCTTGGTAGCCGTGGGGAACCTTCTAGCCTTTCACTCCCCCATTTCCCTCTCTCCTGTATGACTGACTGTGGTGCCTTATCTGCTAAGCTCCTCCTGCTTATCTCGTGTACGTCTCCTAACAGCACTGACGGCGAGCCTTACCTTCCAGAGCAGGAGACCAAGGCCAGGTAGGCTGGGTAACTTGCCCGAGGTTTCACGGCTGGTAAGTGGCAGAGCAGGGCCTGGGGCCCGTACTCCTGATCCCTGCCCTCTTATCGCCTCTGTAAAAAGCTATGGTGGATTAGAAGATCCCACAGCTCGTGCCTCCCCCCCCTGCCCCCCAGAGGCCCGGACAGGCCCTGGAAATTTTGACTCCCATGCCTGGGCTGTGAGGGCGCCAGAGGACCGACCCCGCCTTCCGTGTCTCACTCATCTGGCTCTCGCCACACAGGCCAGCAGGCTGGCTGGCTTACTGCCCTCGGTGCTAAACCAGGCTTTCGGGCCCAGCGGGGGCCGGCTCCCCAGGGAAGCTGGTTTGGCTCTCCAGCCCATCTCCCTTCTCCAAGAAACTCCCCCGGCACTCTTGGGGCTCCTTAACCATCTTCGGCGAGGCCCCCACGTCTGAGGACCACTGCATGCGTTCGCACAGGTGGAACGGATGCCCTGGCTAGTCTCCAGCGACTACCTTCCGCTTCTCTGCGTTTATCATGACACTGAGCACCCAGCAGATGCCAGGTAACCGTGTATCTGATTGGCGGATGTTTTACAGAGACAGGCAAGGGACCAGGCCCGGGTGGAGGAGGCTGACATGAGAGACGTGGCCTTTGGCTTTTCTGGAGCTTACCTTTTCTTCCACCGCTGAGCATTTCCCCATTACCTGCCCCAGAGAGAGAGAGAAGGAAGCTCAACCCCGCCCCCCCCCCCACCCCGCCCCTCGCTGGGCTGATGGTGGGAAAAGGGCGGTGTGGGGCTGCTCACGTATAGTCTGTGCGTTTATGAGATCAGTCACCATGAAGTGTAGTCGTTGCTCGCTACGGCCTGCAAGGCAAGAGGACCACACACGGATCCTGCTGTCCACCCGCCCTGAGATCGCAGCGGCCTGAACAGGGACAGAGACGGGTCTCCCACAGGCGGCCAAGCCAGTCCTCCGCAGATCACACCATCTTTTTGTTAAAAGAGAGAGAGCTTGAAATGAAGAAGGCGGAATGAACTGTTAAGACACGAAATCCCAAAATAAGAGACAGGTGGAGCAGCCAACACAGGGACGTGGGTGGGGGTGGTGGGTGAAGGGGGGAGGGGCCGGCCGGCCCGCCGCCGCCGCCGCCGCCGCCGCCGCCGCCGCATCCCGCACACCTGCACAGATCGCTGAGTCAGCGCTGCCGGAGCACCTGGAGCACCCGGCCCACCTGTCCGCTGCGCGGGGAGAAGAGAACGAGGGCAGGGAGGGTGAGCGGAGGAGAGAGAGCGAGAGAGAGCGAGAGCGAGCGAGCAGTTCCGAGCCGGGGCGGCTGCATTTCCCAGCACCTACTGCCCGCGTTCGTTCTTTCGCGTCGCTGCGCCCGACCCTGGGGAGGAAGCCGGCCCGCGCCCGCCCCGGGCGTCGGTAAGAAGTCCAGAATGAGATGAAGGGATCACTTGGTAACATTAATTTTTTTTTATTAAGAAGACAGATATTTTATAGTACTTCTTTTTTTTTTCTTTTTTTTTGTAAAAATGGTATACATGAACCAATACAAAATGCGAATGGGAACATATGGATATGAAATTTCTTACACCATAACATTGTTCATGTACACCTCGAAAACAGAACTGGCCTAAAGGGAAAAATAATACGTCGGGGTGACTAAAGAACAAGCTTATTTGGCATCAATGATACATCCTTCATTATTTTATATTCCTTTAAAAAACACAGAAAACAAGTTTGTTCTTTCTTCACTCTAAAAAAAGTGATCAACCTGTACAAAGTAATACTCAACAATACATTTCAAACAGTGCACTGTATACTTAAGAAAAAATACATAAACCAATATACAACTAAAATCCATAATTTCCTGTTTTTGCTTTATTATTATTATTATTATTTTTTTATTTTTATTTTTTCCAATGCGTGGGGCCTACACTTTGCAATCTACCTGAGACGGAAAAACACCAATCAGAACACATGAACCTGAGACATGTCAACATCGTAAAAGCCAGAAAGTTACATCAGGAACACTGCACTACCATACACTTTTCAAAACAAAGATGGAAGTTCCCAAAAATGAGATGCCAATTTGGTGAGCAATGGTAGTTGTTTTTTCTCCCCCCCCCCCCAAAAAGAACAACTGAAAAAAACCTTTTAACGACATGCTAAATGGTTCTCACCCTTTGATGTGGTTATACTATGGTCAGAATGGGCACTAAAGGGCTCGGGATAGAGCTGCACGTTATAAAATTCATCGAAAAAGGGATGTTCGTTGTGGCTTTTTGTCTTGGTCAAGTGCCTAGGGATGGGGGTGGGGTGGGGAGGGAAACAAAACGCTGCTCAATATGGATTTTCTTTTACATACCGGTCCGTTCCCAAAAGGCCCCCATATTGCAATGGTTCTATCAAAGGTTAAAACAACGACAAGAAAAATCAACACACTTGCAAATAACAAAGAGTTGATACTTTTTTTTCCCCCTTAAATAAATCAGCGTTAAGTTTTTCCACATAATGTAACAATAGTAAAAATGCACCTTGCAAAATCCAAAATTACTCACTGAAAATGTTATATAATATATATTTATATATATATAGATCTCTTTTTTTGATGCCATCTTTCCATAGGGACTGTATTCTGGAGTCTGGAGCCTTACCAACACATATGGTAAGAGTTTAGTTTTCGTCCTTTGGGACTACTTCTAGATTTCCTAGACGTTTCAGTGAAAATCCCCACATTTCTTTAAAAAAAATGTAAATGGTAACTTGACTCCTCTACCTTTTCCCAAGGCTCCCCATCTAAGATATGTTCAAGGTAACTTATTTTAGTAGCTATGCACTATGGCTGCCATCATGCGAAGATCAGTAATTTTTTGGCAGATGGTTCTTAAGGCTGAGGAAAGAGGCCAAGGCTAGTGTATGAAAGGTAAAAAGATAAAAACACTCACATTTGAGTTTTGATTAAGTAACTGAAAATCCCTACATGCTGTTTTTTCACCTCTGCTCTGACCTTTCGAGAACTAGATCGACAGCAGACCAGTGTGAGAATAATACCGGCCCTTCTTCTGTACCTCCTGCCTTTGTCAAGCCAAATCTGAAGGAATGAAAGTTTCACACGGATTCGAGTTGGAAATCCCAGCATGACAAATATCTGTAATATACAGTACATGCAGGCCACATCCTACTGTCTTCCTCACTAAACACAAAGGAAAAACAAAACCAAAACCAAAACCCAAAAAAAAAAACAAACCAAAAAAACCCCCGAAAAACCAAACCCTGTCCCATCCAGTCATTCACACACCACGCGGACTTGCTTTTTTCCTACAAATTAGTGAGAAGTATGGCCGATTGGGAAAGGTGGATGGAATCGTTTGAAACAGAAATAACCAGAGCAGGACTATCGTTCCCCGCCCCCCCCCGACTTCCCCTCCTGTGGCAACTCAAATTTGTCCACTTATATAAAAGGAACAGACCTCACCTGCCAGGTCTGTTTGGGGCGTTGAAAAAGGAGGAGCCCCTTCCGCCCCAAACCTTTCCGGACAGTGCGGGGTCTCTATGCTGAGCCGTCTACAGACACAGAATTAAAGACAGATTCGATCTCATTGTGACACGCCTCACTTTGCAGGTAACCCTGTACAGTAATGTAGTTCCACAGCAAACAGAACATTTTCTGAATCACAGTCTACGTTTCTAGTCTTCACTGCTCTACGTATTTGAAACATGGGTAGCAGCAAAGAGTCCTCGTTGTTTGTTCACCCAAATCTTTACGACGACAGAGTAAGAATGCATTATGGACACACTAAATTCTGAACTATGAAATCTAAACTGTGCTGGTTCTCCTTTCATGAAACTGAATCTTGAACAGAAAGCAGTTACTTCAAAAAATAGACAAAAAAGGAAAGGAAAAACAACAACAAAATACGGGGGAAAAAGATTCTAAGGAATCCCAGCAGGCAAATTCCAAAATGGGAGATTTTGGGGAAAAAAAAAAAAAAATCCCAAAATTCTTGGGCAAAATAAATGCGCACAAAGGAAAAAAAACAGAAAGAAAGAAACAGCAGGAAAAAAAATTTAAAAAGAGGAACACAACGAACAAACAAAAAAACAAGGCACAGAATTTTCTGCAATCTACCCAAACTAAATCCAAGCATCCAAGTCTGACTTGGTAGGAAGAAATGAAAATTTTAAGAAACCAACCAACCAACCAAAAAAAAAAAAAAAAAAAGAGGTGTCAAACAGCAGAGTGTACTTTCAAAGAACATTTTTTTTTTTTTTTTACACAGCAAATCCCAAGCCTTCCCAGTCTCGCACCTTTCCACCCATTCATAAAAAAACACACGAATTTCTCGCAAGTTCCAATATCACTGTCTCTTTATCATCTAAATAGGGCCAGTTGGACACCTCATTGAAACAAAAAGGCTGATCTAGATGAAGTACTCTTTCTTTTCTTCAGAGTTGTTCTGTCCTCCTTCTGCATTGATTATAGCTGTGTCTGCGTCTGCTGCGTCATCGGCTCCTTTGGCTTCATGAGTGAAGTATGTACCTGAAAGATGAAGGGGTAAAGCACCGTGACTGTCTGATGGCCTCTGTGTAAAGTGGTACAGAGATGGCAACTTGCTTTATGGCCATCATCAGCCGAAGTGGTGTGCAGGCAGCAGAGGGGAAAAAACAATTGGAAGAAGAGAGCGAGGTGGATGAGACAAATGGGGATCCGGGGGTTCCAAAGGCACCACTCCAACTGAACCGCTGCGATATAATTCAGCAAATGAGACATTAGAGCAGTGATTATGACCAGAGAATGTCAGCAGAAGAAGACGTGAGTGGAAGCTAGAAATGCAGAGAGCTGGAGAGCCGCTGACTAGCATAAACAGTGCAGGCCAGGACCAATGACCGGCAATGTGCGCGCACATGGTTAAGGACCAAAGCAAGGAAGAGCAATTAGCCAATTAATGAATTAGGGCCCTGACGATGTTCTACTGTCGTCTCAAATCGTTTGTTTGAGCCCCCGTCTCCTGGCTGCGCGAGTCACCGCTGCCTGTCCGTCAGGGAGGCCTCGCCGGGGCGTGTGCAGGCACGTCGGACCGTCTCCTGCCCGCCCCCCTTCGGAGTGAGGGGTCCAGATCGCCAAATCACTTGATACGACAACAGGCGTGAGCAAGGCTCGGGGGTCTGTCTCAGGGGACGCGTGATTCTCGCTCGTGGTGTGAGTGTAGCCTGGACCCGGATTCATGGATTCGCTAATTGGCAAGGCCACGTTGCAATGACAACACACAGAACGTTCCAAAGCTGGAGACGCTCTCATCGGCAAGTCCCAACCCTTTACGGGAAAGTTGATGGAGAAAGACAAGGCCTGCACCTCGGTATGACGTCTGGGGAGAGTTTACGCTGCCCACCTAAACCACACAGCCCCTCCTCCCGTCATATATCCTCCAAGATTCTTAAAGGGGGAAAAAAAAAAAGGCTGATAACGTTTGTTGTGTTTTCAGGTTTTCGTGAGTGACAAGTGTGAGCAGACAGGTGGCCAGATGTTCCCTGCCTGCACCCCTCCTCCCTCGGCACAGGACACCCTTTGCCCCCTCGTTCTCCACAGCTGCTGAGGAGACTTGGCCCCGCTCTCTGGCCTTACCCTCCTGGCTCTACCCCGCTCACCACCAAGAGGCTGGGCGTTCTCAGCCCAGCAGGCCGCCTCCGGGGCACGGGCAGAAGTACGCACAGCGCCGGGGGTCCCCAAACGGTTTATGCTGGAGACAGGCATTGTGGGTTCTGAAGGTGGTTTCCAGTACCTTGGACATCCACTGCTGTGCTCAAGGAATCCTCCCCAAACCCCAGTCCTGTGCTCACTATGCAAGTGCCTGGAGTTGATGCTCTAGGGCGGCCCCACACGCTCACAGCACAGCGCTCGAGAAAAACACCGGAGGAAGACAAGGGCCGACAGAGAAAGGGCAGAATAAATTACCAGGCGCGGGGGAGAGGGCTAGAGCAGCATGGGGCACAGAGGAGGAGCGTTGGAAAAGATGATTGCCCATCCAGGCTGCACAGTTGATACGTCTGATGATTAATGGCAATTTAAATCAATTGCACCAATGATTTAAAAAATACATATTTATGTGGCTTTTAAGGCACATCCAACCAAGGCAGGATTCTAGCCGCTGTGACCAGCTCACCCCAAGTTTGGGGCCAGGGGGACCAGAGCCCTGTCCAGCTGCTGCCCAGAAAGCAGACGGTTACGGGCACGTTCTTGGCGCGCTTGTCGTTTGGGGGTTCACACCACACCTGGCCCACCGGCCCCTATTTTTACAATTTTTGCTCTATCCCCAATTACGGATTGCAGAATAACAAATCTAGAAAGCTTTTAGAGAAAATCGAAATCAAGACGTGCCACTCATCAACTCTCAGAGTCCTAATCAGCAGCTGCTAAGATTTCTGTTTTTCTTTCCTTTTTTTTTCTTTCTTTTTTTTTTTTCTTTTCTCCTCTCTCCCAGTTTCAGGACCCGAACAGCCTATGCGGCCACGTGACCCAAACTGCCTCGCAAGGAAAACCTTGCCGAGTCCCCAGATGCAGGGGCTGTGGTGACGGGAGGCCTCCTGCCTACCAAAGCACCTTGCTTACCTTTATGTCTGGCAAAGTAGCGCCCCAGAATGATGAGCAAGCACAGCATGGCGAACACCACCACGGCCACGACCCCGCCGATCACGGCATGATCCACCGCTCTGATGGCGCCTTCTTCACCCGCTCGAGAATCTGTCGGGATCAGAAAAGGAACAGGGATGTAGAGCTCATCGCAAGACACCAGCAGCCCTGGCCGCACTGCCTCCAGGTCAGAGGTCACCTTCCCTTACACTGGAGGAGGCAGAGAGACCGTCCAGATGGATCAAGTCACACCAAGGGAACAGACTGACCTGTCCAGTGCCGAACCGATCTGTGCTCCCCACAGGGCGAGTTCACTGTAAGCAGCAGAGAAGCGCTAGTGCGTGTGGAACCACGCTTAGGGGCCAGGGAGAGAAGAAACAGTCTGCGTCCAGTCCTGGCCTGGTCTCAGCGCTCGCCCTCTCTGTGTCCGGCTGCGGGTCCTAGTAAGGAGGCGACCTAACTACTTAAGGGTTCTCGGAATGGCACCTTCGGGCGGCAACAGGAGCTGCGGAGGGGAGGCTAAGGCAGCTTTCTGCAGGTGCCCAGCGACTTACTCCCTGCTGGGCACAGGCACAGGCAACCCAGCTCTCAAGGCACAGCTGCCTGGAGATAAAACAAGGCTTAGAAGACTAAAGACAAGTGACATGCTTGCTACATTTAGGATGTATGAGGGAGTAAGCCTCAATCTAAAGCCTAAAAACCTATCTCAAGAAAAGACAGCCGGGAATAATTGTCCATTGCCACAGACGGGTTTTATTTTATTTATTTAACACTTCACGGTGCAATTAATTTTCCTTTATAAGCATCACTCCCTCAGGATGTCTTCTTGCGACTGAGCGACGACATGTTTGGCCGGGGAACAACTCCAAAATGAACCCAGAATGAGCTATGGCGATGCGGAATGGATGTATGGCAGTGTAAACAATTTTAATTTAGGAATGTGGCCACATCACCCCTTGCCGAAACCCTAATGGCACCCGAGATTTATAAATGTAGTAAGAAACAATTATTCTCCTGTTGATTAATACATTAACATTTTGGAGTGGAAGCTAAACCATTGTCTTTTTTTTTATTGAGTCGAGTACGACACCTCCATTAAAATGATTTACTGGCTGTACCTTACAATTTAAGCACAGCAGCAACAGAAACGGTAAAAATCTTTTAACTTTACATGATTTGTGAAGTCATATGTGAAGGATTTACCATTTAAATCTTTCAGTACAAGAAGCACATGGCCTATAAATCTGTCCCCCTTGCAGTTGCTGGACGCCCGAGAGAAATGCATTTCACCAGGAAGACGGAGAGTGCAAATTCAAGTCAATTTTTAAGAAAGATTTATCTCTGTCTCTCTCCAAAGAACAGAGCAAATCTCTGAAGCCTCCACCTCTAATAATATTTGAAGTTTATCGATCAAGTGTACAGATCCGTGACAGCTAAAGGTAATGGTGCTCTTTTGAGCCGAAACCTGATACAACGCTTTCAGCAGGAGGGCATGATTTACACTTTCTATCGATATTTCCAATTCTGCTCTGAGATTAAGTACTGAAGGATGTGGGGGAAAGAACTCGTGACTGAGGGTTCCACGAGAAATGCTTTAATTAAAAGAGTTTAAATTAAGAAAAAAATGAAGCATTCAAAGCGTTTCATTAAGTTACCTTTCGAAGGACTACCAAAAAACCCCAAAACCCCAGCCCAAACAGAAATCCCGAATCAGAGGCGGCAGCGGCCGGTCGCCCAGGACGACGGGATGATGGAAGTTTAATTGGAGAAGGGAGATGGGTTGGAGGCAGAGTGCACTGCAGCCAATTAGCCCGCTCCGTGATGTGCGAGCCCCTCCAGCAACCTGTCTAATAAGCTCGACTTGAAACGTGGTGGAGAGGAATCGCCCTCCTCGGCCCCAAGTGTTACCTACTGTGGACGCAACAGCCTCTGTGTCTTGAAAATCATTTCAACGAGGCAGAACTTGGCCACGGAAACTTTTTCTTTTCCTTTAGAGACAACAGAGCTTGTCGAAGGGGAGCGCTCCCCTCCCCGGGGTGCCCCTCCAACACAGGGTACCTGCTGGGGGATATAGTGCTTCACACCCTGGAGACTCTCTCGCCCACCTGCACAGATTCGGAGTCGCTGATGGGAAGACCAGAGTTGGGAGCTGTGTTTTCCTTAGGGAGCTGTCAAAATAGGGGATCTTGTGGGAGTGAAAATGAACTAACCTCCCATTGCCATGAGCTTCAGACCTATTGAAAAATAGAGTCTTTCAACTCATTCCACAGGTCTTAGAATTGCATGGGGCAAAGTGATACTAGCCATTGAGGAGAGGGGAAAGTTAGGGGTAAGAGGTGAAGAGAGGCTGAGAGCAGAGAGAAGCCGTCCCACGTAGGGGAAGGCACTCTCACGTCCACTGTTAACAGGCTGTCTCCTCCGTCCCTGGCACGGGAACATTCTAGAAGCCAGAGAGACAGAGAGAGAATCTCTGCGATAAAGAAAAACAGAAAACCTCACGGGGAGGTATCTGCGGGATTAACTTCTTTCGCCAAAACTATTCATTTGGCCTTTGCTGCCCAGGAACTTAGACCTAAATGTGCTGAGGACTGCTTTTTCCCCCCCTGCACTTTGCCCACATTCAGTACCTGGGTTCTAGTGATCTTGCCCACCCTCAAGGACATACATATTTTACAGATACTTATTTATAAGGGTAATCTCTCCAGCTATCTCCTGATACTCACTTGATAAGGAAGTTTACTACCACCAGTTAATCACCAAGACATTTTTCCTGCCTTCAGTTACTGCAGACGGACACAGAAGGTAACTGATGTTTAATTTACAGGGAACACTGAGGTGTGTGAGCTCCTCACGGCCTCCTTCCACCCCACCCCACCCCGGGTTCACCGGCACCTGCCACGGCTTGGCGTCCTCCGTGAAGAACGGAGCCCTTTCCTGCCTCCGTGCACTCCCACCTTCTGTTGCCCTGCGTGGGGTGGGCGGGAGGGTTTTCATAGTGCTGTCGATTGGCTCGAGGTGGTGGGGGAGCAGGGTGAAGGCTGGTTACCTTCTACCAGGGCAGGACTGCCTGCACCTGTGTGCCCGTGCCTCGCTCAAGGCCGGGAGCAAGGGCACGAGTTGTTACACAAAGAGGCAGTGGGCAAATGGAGGGAGTGGGGGGGGGGTGTGGCAGGGAGGAACGACTGGCGTGGGCAGGGAGCATCAACCACCACAAGGATCACAGCTCTAACAAAGTCCGTCAGCCGCCCAGCCTTTCCTGTCCTGCTCCTGAAGGAACAACTCTGCCTATGCCTGAGAAATGACTTCTCAGTGGAACACTTGGGAGAGTATCTGTCACCATCATCCAAAGATCCTGCTCCTCTTGGGGTGCAGATCTTTTCACTCTGGTTCTATGAGCTTTCCTGGGGTGTGGGGGGGTGCATCTCCATTTTCGGTTCCTTTTCTGAATCGGGCAGAGAAGGAAATCAAAGAATGAGACTCCACGGATGCCTCCAGCTCCTACACTGAAAAGGAAACGTGAGTGCGGAAAGCACTTATAAACACGCCTGGTACTCAGGCGAATGGACAGGTCTTGGGCTTGGAAGGTAACGTTTCCTTGTTCTTTTAAGAAACGAAGCAACAGGTGTTACTAAGAGCGCTCATATTTCCGGGACTAAGCTTTGTCCCCATCATCCTGGAGGAGGAGCCATGTTCCTACTCGTGTATGCTCCTGGCGTCAAGGTTATCCCAGCCCTGAACCGAGTGTGTTCGGGGGAAGAATGTCGCCCCAATCCTTTCACGTGTGAGGCCAAGTAACTTTGGCCTAGTCGTCCCATAGCTCTGGATTTTAGGTATGCCCTGTCAACGCAGGGAAGAGAAGAGGTTTTGCGGGCCCTCTCCTTCCGGCCTGTACTGTCCCCCCCTGCAGGCCCGTCTATGGCTCTAAGCGTGACACGAGTCTCTTTAAGGACAGATCCGTCATGAGCTGTTTAGTATTCGTGAGTTGGCTTTTCTTTTGGCAAAAAGCTGGGACGACTTGGCTCCGGGTGAGAGTTTACAAGCTGCCTGTGGAATGTTAAGTTGGCCACTACTGCTTGGGTCACAGCGTCGGCCACCCTGGGCTCGCATTAGCATCTTAGAAACCGTGAGGACAAAAACATTTCAAAGAAACTCCCAAGAGTGATGCCCCAAGAGCTCGGATTTCTTTACCTTGGGCCAGGTGACCTGGCCCGCTCCATTCCTCATGGGCAACATAAAGGCAGTGCTCTAAAGGTGGTGGTCTGCCGAGAAAAGTGATTGCCAGAGAGGAATTTCAGTCCCCCCACCCCCCGCGCGCCAGGGGACTCCTTTTTCTCCACTTGCTTTCCTTCCTTAAATTATTTGCCAGAGCTGTCCTTAATGCAGCGCTCCGGGAGTCACGCTGCCTGTGCTAAAACAGGGCCCTGCGACACATCTCGGTTTCTATGGCTACTTCGCCACCTGGCATGGGACGCCTCACAGAAGCTGCCAACAGAATGCCTTCACCCTGGACCCGTGATAAGCCTAGAAGGCTCTGCTGCCAGGGGCGGGGACTCATGGACAGCCAGGGAATGGCCAGTATGTCCTAGACAAGCTCCTGGCAGACAGGGACTCTGGCAGAGGACGTCACTGAGCAGAATGCTCGCTGCAGCACCACTGCTCACCTTGCAGCCCGGGGCTGGTCTCCTTGCCGAAAAGGACACCCAGTCTCCGCCCTCTGACGAGCTGAAGTCCGATCCAGTTAACATGTAACACACAGTTAATACTACGGCAGGGGACCGCTACCCGGTGTTGGCGATCCCTTCACATTTCCTAACATCCCCGGCTCAGGCTAGCTGGCACATTTACCAATTTCACAATAAATTTCATATATAAATAAAAAAAAATAAATAAATAAAATAAAACCTTGGGGAGCGTGGAATACGCCTCTTCAAAGCACGTATTTATTCTTCCCCATACCTCACAAGATACCTTAGAAATTAACGTTTAAAACACGGAGGAGGTTCTGATGATACTGGTCTTCCTGCTTCTATTGGACAATTCCTATGTTGGACCTTCTCCCTTTCCTCATCTAATGAATGACTGGGGGAAAAAGTTAGGATTCTTGACTTTTT